TATTAACGATGAAAAAAAAAAAAAGAATCATCAAGGAGTCACCATTAAAATTAAAGAATCAATAAAAATGGTAGATCCTTTGTCATTATGACTTTTTTTAAATCCTTGGTGACTACTACTTTATCTTTCAATGACTCTCAATTCAATCCACTGAACATCTCCCTCCCTAACTTTATGCATGTAGAGTTAATTTATACGTTCTTTGTTAAAAAAAAAAAAAAAAAAAAAAAATGAAGAGGGTGGCGTTTTATTTCTTAGCTCTTTTTTTTTTTTTTTCAGAGTACCAATCTACCAAATACATGTTCTCCATTCATTACATAATTATGCATGCACTCGTGGGCATGTGCGACTTGATTTCATACAAAAGTCGAATTTTGTTTTCATTCCCCGCATATTCTACCATCCCCCTACATTTGATTTGGGCGAATAATAAAGGTTATCAATTAGAATGAGAAGACGTAATGTTATGCGAGTATTATTTTGCTTAAAAAAAAATAATGGCATTGGAGTGAATGAAAATAATGCAAGGCGTTTTCCTCTTCCTCTTTTTTCTTTTTTCCTTTTTTTATGATATTGAATAAAGATTTATGATGAATATTATTTTTTTTTGTATGTATGAACACTATTAAATAGGAAATTGTACACCCAAATATACGTTCCCCAAATAAATTTTTTGTTCTAGACACATTTACGCGGGATTTACCAATTTTCCGTACATTACCGAAATTAATATATTATACCACATAGTCGGATCGTAGACTAGCCATCATCTTGCTGTCAAATATTTTGATATGAAAAAAAAATTATATTTTTTTTTGACAGGAAAAAAACGTGCATGCGAAGGCTTTTTTTTTTTTACCATAACAACTATAACAACTGATTTACCTAAAAAAAAAAAAAAAAATGAAAATGAAATAAAATAACAAAAGAAGGAAAGTTCCTACTCGGATCCATATTACTCAGAGAAATCATTCCGACTGTCAAATATAATCATCAGAAGTATGATGACATATTTTCAATTTTTTTTTATTACAAGAACAATGTGATGCGTGATCCCATTCTGAAAAATCAAAGCGTGGCATACGGCATGTACTATGATATATTTCATTACACATTTATAAGTAGATCGCCTTGTTATCATTGTACTTTTGGATTATGAGTTGGATCAAATAGGGAGTCGTGATTTATGGTATCAAATGACTATTTGATAAGCGTGGCGACTCGTTTTTAACGAGCCACACCGTTAATTTACCGGTTACAGTCATAAATTGAATTATTCGCCTTTTAATCAAAAGGATGGAATTAAATTTTATTGGTGCAATCCGTTAATGATGAAGGATACCAATTGTTAATGATGGAATCAATAGTTAATGGTTGGGAATACGAACAAAAATCAATGAGATATATAAGGAAATAATTGTCCCGGCCATGGATCTTATATTTATTTGAAATGAGGTGTAACAAAGGCAAAATGAGATCATGAGATCTGGAAAGGATGGCATATAAAAAAATATATAAGGTGGCTTTTGAGTTAAGGATGATTTGAATTCCGAATAACTGGTTGGGCTTCTTTACATTACCTGTTAAAATCGGTATTATTTGTAAACTAATTACAGTAAATTCGGTATTCACCACACAAACATTTTATTAATGAGAATTCAAATAAAGTAAAGCATTCTTACACCAACCGGTTATCATGATTGCTTTAGTTCCTTTGTCATGATGGTCATGACTTAATCTCAACCTAAAAAGTTCTCGATAATTGTTTACATGCAAGGAAAAAAAATTATCGCACCTTTATGTATTTATCAGATGACAAAGTAGAAAGTGGACCATTTCATTGCATGAAATAATTTTGCAAAGTTGAAAAATATTCGTCCAAGAAATTATGTTATATGTATGTGCGTTTGCGTGCATGCATGGATTATAAAGCCACTTTCTTCAAAAGTTTCACGTTAAATAACTGATTTTCATTTGTCTAAATACATGATTTTGTACAAGTTTATTTAAAAAGAAAATAAGATCAAAGCGTTTATTTATTTATAAACAAGAACGCGATGATTTTAAATAATTTTATGCATATTATAAGACTGGATGTTTTGTCAACCTACCGTTTCTCTTCCTGCATATCAAACTCATGAAACACTTAATAAACGGTTTACATTTCTTTTACGTTTATTTTCACAAAGTGCAAAACAAGTTGGTAAATTTCGGAATGTCCGCTCGCTCCTATTTGCTTACTACTTCTTTTATTAAACCTCTTTCTTTATTTAAAACTAAAAGATTGATCATGATGCTTGAATGTTTGTTCATGTGTTCGAATAGGAAGGGTCCAATCTTTTGACCTTCAAGCTTGTTGCCAAATTTGGAGATATGGCTAAATTACATGTAAGGGATTTCCATTTCTTCCACAGTGTTACATTGATGACAATGACCTCTTTTATGATTTTATTGAATATTAAGGTGAATGGTCTGTTCGCAAATGAAACTTATATTTTTTTTTGTTGTGTACGAAAAAAAAAAAAAACTTTATTATTTATGAATGCACGGATGCTGCGTGCAAATATCGTTAAAGGGTTTATATTATGCCGAGTTATGTGCTGATTATGAGCTTAATATTTTCTCACGAATTACGCGAAATCCAAAAAGAAACATTTCATTTAAACAAGAATGGAAATGAATTTCTGATTTATAATTACGTTTGTGTCATGATCAGTGACGAGGAAAAACAGTAAACTTGTACGGGTAATTAAGACGGGTTCGGTTACGCCATCAACTTTAATCAATCATTAGAATGTTGACCAATTTAGGAAAAAAAAAAAGTGAGCTAACATCTCAATTTAATTTAATCAAAAAAGTGATCATAGGAGAAACTGGCTATGGTTAAATTATTTTGAATTGCAAAGGTTAATTAATAAAGCGTATTGGCTTCTTTATTATTTCCTTTAACAGAATGATGTTGTACCGACAAAATTTATTTGTTTTACTCTCCATATTACCTAATTCCATTAAGGCAATAATACACAGCGTATGAAATGTTTTAAAAAAGGTTTTCATCTATTTTTTTATGAGTTTATCAGATTTAAAAACTTGTTTTTTACTGTAATTGTTTGAAGAAAAATATTCCAGGTTAAACCTTTTTAATAAACCTTAAATCGAAAAAAGGAAGTTATTGGGGGCTATGTAAGATTTGAAATAAATTTTCATTTTAAAAGGGACAAAATGGCAAATGAATTTGGAAATTATTGTTTGTAAACCTTTGGAAGCCATAAGCAAAAAAAAAAAAGTTTGTTTTTTTTCATGTAAATAATGTGGGGTAAATACTCGCTTCTAAGCGAGATTAACGAATTTGGTAAATAGGCGTTTTATTATTTATTTAAAAAATTTATTTTTTTTGGGTATAGATTGATTATTATTCATTCAAATTTTTTTTCAATTTTTTACCCACACTAGACTCGATTCAATTTGAATTTAACCTAAAATGGACTAATATGAAACTCAACATCCCTGTTACCCACCATCACATCCAAGATTATCATGTTAGACCAATTAAATCAGCCAAACGATAGAATTTGGGATTTTGTGATCCGTAACCTCGGAAATTCCAGAAAATAGGATGTGGTCACATTCCTTTTTTTTTTTATCTTATCACATAACATTACCGCCACCGCCATTTACGTTTTTTTCAGAGGTTACAGAAGTTGATGATAAAAAGATAAATAATGAAACCAATCATACGATAAAACTTGAAAAAACTTTCTCAATTTACTTTATAACAATTCCTTTTGGCGTAAAAAGGTACGTAATTTAATTTACTCCACAATTTGTTGTTGACATCCCATTGTTAAGAAAAATTTTTTTCCTTTGAATTGATAAGTTCATAGGTCTCACTCATATCATAGATGCAAATGCAAATAGACGAAAGTGTAAAAAAATATGCATGGAAGGGACGTTTGCAATATCGAAAATGAGTTTAATTTTACCGAAATTAAATTTTTAGAATAATTTTTTTTTATTTCTTTTATTTTTTCTCACAGTTCATTGAAAACCCCACAAAATTGATAGAAAAAAAAATTTTTTACTCTTTTTAAGAAAGAAAAAATCATACATTTGCATGAATGAAAAAAATTTTTTTTTTTTTCCAATCAATTCTTCAAAATATTTCCGAGCTTAGAAAAAAATTTTTTTTTTCACAAGGGATGGGGATGATTGTTTTATATGTGTTGGTACATTAAAATATTTTTTGAAACTGGATGAAATAGGATAATATATTAGAAGTTTCACAACCAACATGATTGGTTCTCTCTTGAGTTTTATTTATTATGTTTACTTTAAAAAAAAAAAATTTTTTTTTTATTCCTTTGTTAAATATAAATTTTTTTTGAGTACATATTTTCTATTTCTACACTAAATGCTCAAAGTGTAACTAACCATTTTCATACTTCGGCTGTCGTATATATACATGTTCATTATAAAAAAAAAAAAAAAAAACCCCTTAATATTATATGAAGGTCATTCATTTCATTAAGTCATAGAATAGATAGTAGTTTAATTATTTATATTGTAATGTTTATCGACTTGTATATAAACTCCATTTGCTCACCAGGAACCAAATTTAACAAGATACAAAAAAACTTTTTTTTTAAGTATCAAAAAAAAAATCCAAGATTACTTTCATCAATTCTCTACAATTTTCCTTTATTCCCTCTCATCATCAAAACCTCGAAAAAAAAATCTTTTTTAGCTTTCATTTAGTTAGCTTTCATTTTTCTTCACTTTTTTTTTTGTGCTTTTAAACAATCTTTTTTTTGTAACGGTTCATATCTTTGAAAATTTAATATATCCTCGAGAGATATCAAATAGTAAAAATCGTAATCACATCTTATTTTGAACACCTTATTCTAATAACCGATTAATAAAAGCAATCTAAACCAAGTTATACTTTCAACGTTTTTGCAATTTACTCTTACAACTTTCTAAAACAAAACACAATACAAGAAATGGAACAAGCAAAGAGTACTCAGAAATCCACAAAGAAGTTCTTCAATAAAATCTTCCATACGCATAATAGCAGCAAGAAGAATTCCTCATCCGTATCGCCTCATGCCTTTGACGCATTTGAAATTGTCCCTCGAACGATCAAAAATCGTCGCTCAAATGAAGAAGTGTTTCCTCAACAACAAACTTCATCATCTTCATCTTCATCTTCATCATCATCTTCATCTTCATCTTCTTCTATAGTTCGATCAGGTTCTATACAAAGAAGATATTCTTTCTCAAATGTGCATGAATCAGGTCAACGAAGATTATTGGCCGCTAAACGCGCAGAATACCAAGAGAAGATGCAAGCCTTTGACGATTTAATTAGCAAACGAAGAGGTAGTACATTGCGAATGGCTTTGGCTCCTGATGTTACGAGTTATTAAAGAATCTTTCTTACCTTTCAGCTTTATAATGGACATTTATTTTCATGCATTGCATTTCTCATCATCAACCGTCATCATAACACTATAAAAATTCATACCTACATTTCTTTGTGGAAATGTTAGTTTCCTTTTTAATAAAAAAAAAATTTACTGTTCGTTGTTGTTTAATATCAGAAAAAATCTTTTCTCATCAATCTCATCTTAATTCCCGAAATTCCTAATTCTTAATAACCGCGCTATCTTATTTATAATCACGAGAAAGTTGGCGAAGGACCGGATCCCCCGCCTTCAATATTTTCTCAATTGACAATTAAAAATCCCATTGAAATTTATCATTTTAAAATTAAAAAACCCCCAATTCTAAGTTTTTACTTCTATGCAAAAGCAAAATTTTCTTTATTATTTTTTTTAAAAAAAAAAAACCCCCTATTATATGCAATTAATTAATTATTTCCCTATGTAAGATTCTAGAAAGACAAGACAAAAAATTACCCTATTAAATTTTAACTTAAAAGGATTAATGAGCAATAACTTAAAAGTGGAAACATAGACAAAAAAAAAAAAAAAAAAAACCTAACCACAAAATTGTTCTATTTTTCATTATGACAAAAAAAAAAAATAGATTTTATTATATATATATATATGATATACAGTTTGGGGCGAGAAAAAAATCAAATTTTATTTTTACAAATTATTTACTACTATTATTGTATTTTGTTATTTTAATCCAAAATCCAAAAAAAAAAATTATCTTCCGTTAATATTATATTTTAATCAAAATTTTTTTATATATATATATATTATTTTTATTATTTTCTTATTATATTTTTATTATATTATCTATTACTTATTATTATATTTTAATATTTTATTTCTTTTTGACGTTTTTATTATTATATCTTTTTTTTTTTTTCTAATTCTTTTATTGTTATCGTTATTATTTGACATAATAATTTTGTATAAATCAAGTTCTATAATATATCAAAGATCTTTTTAATAATAAATAAATGAAATACAGCGTTTAACAAAAAAAAAAAAAAAAAATTGTACACAATCTTTTATAAATGTCTTTTTTATGTCTCCAACACGATAAAATTATCTGCTTTCTAAAAATAATCGTTTTTATCTTTGAAAGTCTTTTCTTTCTATTTCGGAAACAGCTCATTCAAGAAAATGGTAAGATCTTTCTATTTTTTAACTCATTTAGTTCTCGAAAGAACATTTTGTTTATTTTCGTGTCATTGTTTACAAATGAAAGGTTGTTCTAGGCTCGACCTTTTCGGGACCGGATTTTCATAGGGATTTATTTATAGATTCATCAATCATTTCGCGTTTTTACGTTGTTTTTTTTTAAAAATCTATAAACATGCAATGTAATACCGCACCCTTCATTCGCGACCCAACATGCATGCTGCGGGGCCGATACAAATTCTTTTGATTCAGGTTTTTACCTCCTTAAAAAAGCATGTACATTCTGAAATTAGGAATTTTTTTTTTTCCCTTTAATCACATCTACCCTTTTTTTCGAAAGGGAAAACATGCAAAATAAGGGAGTATTAATCTTCCGATCAACAGTGAGAAAATATGATTATCAATTCGTTTTCCAGCCATTTTTTGAAGAATTTGGATTCCGAGAAGAAAAAAGATGCGAATATATATTCATTAGATTTGGTTTATCCAATCAAATGTCATGTGTATGTTGTGAACTATCAATAAAAAAAAAAATAAATAAACCTAAAAAAAAAATATATATACATACCATCTTTATACCCCTTAACGTCTTACCCATATATATTTAGATCATTAGAAAAAATTATTCGTGACAATATCAAAAGAAAAATAAATTGTATCGAAAGCTCGCCTTACTAAAAATAAATTTTTCTTTCTTCATTTTATTTTTTTTTCCTTTACGATAAATAATAAGTTAAATAAAAATTCACTTTTTCTTGATTAAATCGATTAAATAAAGAAATCTGAACAATTCCGAAATCCTGCGTTACACGCATGATATTTGCCTTCCTCAAACCCTTTTTTTTTTTTGTTGTTGTTGCATTTCTTTTTTCCCTACTAACAAATTTAAAATTATAACACATTGCATTACATATATTACTATTTTCTTCCTCATTCAAATTGACCATTGATTACATTTTACGCATTATCTTCAAACTTTCTTTTTTCCCCCTTATCATGCATAAATTAAAAAAAATATCATTTTCCCTTTCCATTGGAAAATTATATTTGTACACGTTTTTTTGGTATCATACTATGAATACTATTAAGAAAAAAAAACTTTTTTTTTTTTAATATACCTTACACCATTTATAGGTGAAAACAATATTTTCTATAAAATAAAGGTAAAGAAATTATTGATTGGCGTTCAATCAATTATTGCCATTTTAGAGAGTAAATTAATTTTACAAAAAACTCGTTATTTATCTTGAATCCCTTGGCGTAAACTGACCCAGCGAACCTTTTTTCGAATCATTTGAATAATCAAATTAAGTTATAATAAATCCTGTCTGAATAACAGGAGGTCATCGTACGAATAAAATATAAAGAGAGAAAAAATGAGAGAGAAAAATTAAGGGGCAATTTTTAACACTGCTACAAAAGTAAATCTTTTTTTTTTTTGCACTTTGCAAATCAATCAATAAGGTTTCATTCATCAAAACCTTTTTTAAATTTTTGATTTGGAAATTTGTGTCGATTTATCCTTCTTTTGTGGTCATTACATGAAAATAGTTAATAAAAAGTTAATAAAAAAACTTTAAAAAAAAAAAAAATGTAAATAAATTAATCTGGTTTTGTTTTTTGCCCTTGTAATATGCATTCTTATCAAATGAATGACCGTGCGAGGTCATGTTACTTCTAACTCGGTGATTGATCACACCATTTTCAATCAATTAAAGTTTTTTTCTTGTATTCTCAAGGAGAGGATACCGTTTCAAACTTGAGATATTTTTCAGATGTTTTACCTCGAAAGATACTGCGTCACACGGTACACGAGTGGATTATAATTTAAATATTTTTGGATGCTTTGCTCAAAATTATTTAATTTTTTTATAATGTATTGCGATTTGTCAATTTTTTTTTTTTTTAAAAAAAATAATAATGATTATTTGGTATTGGGATTTGCTCTGTCATTTTATGCGGGGAACCCATTATTATCACGCCGCGTCTCGCCCTCCGTTTATCACTTTTTACAAAGTATATTCCATTGGAAAACCCACCTACTCACTTTTTTTAACATCTTATATGACACCCGATCAGCACTAAAACGGCATGGTGCGTTGGAAATTATCTGTGACATGACCGAATCTTGTCCAACCATTACGTTTTGTTTTCATTAAAAGCCTTCTTTTTTTGGTTTAATTTACCCAAAATTGATTAATTTGATTCAAAAGACCACTCAATCGAAACCGGTTTTTTTAGTTGATCGTTGAACTCATAATTTCAAAGAACGAATTAGTAATTGAGAAGCGATAACAACACCGTGATCATGATAAAAGACAAATGAAGAACCCTGAACCGTTTTACAGACGGGACAATGAATTTCGATTAATGAAATCATAGCACCTTTTTATTTGTTGATCAATATTGGTTTTCATGTCATTTCATGTATTTAAATTGTTTGTTTGGACGCCCACAATTTTTTTTCTTTTTGTTATGTATGCATCAGATTATTAAGAGCCCACTTCCCTATTTATGAAATGAACGATTCCGGAAATTTAATTTTCATCGCTTTTGCCGAAAAAAAAATTTTTTAAATTGAGTATCACTGTGTAATGGTTTCCTCGCAATCGATCAAGCGTAATTGGTAATTCCGTTTAAGCTTTTAAATATCGAGAATGATTACAAATACCAATGCATCCCGATTTGTCCTATAAAGAAACCTCTGAGAAAATCTCGTATGACCAATGACATCATTAATATGTCAGTATCAAAGATCAAATGTTTATTCTAGTATAGTATATCACAAAATTAATAATTGATGTAAAAGCAAACAAATAATAATACATTCCAATAAATGCGTGTTCATATCATAAAGAATAAATAAATCATACTTTCTTTGTATTGTTTATTTACAAAAGTGAAATGAGATTAAACTTATTTCACCGTAAAAATATTCGGTGTTGGTGTCGAGAAAACAAATGTATGTACGTACGCCATGTTAATAAATTTCGAACGAGCTTCTTTCGTATACGTTCTTTTTTTGTTTCCAATGCTCTCCCATTCATGCATTTATCAATCCTCTCGGACTTTGCCCAAATGTCGCTCATCTGGGACAAGCGTGACACCGATCGTGAAAGTATCTTTTTCTTTTTTAGGTTTGACGAAATTCTATTCTATACATATATTTATGCGTCTTATGTAAATTGCTTCTTTTTACAATGACAGAGTTTCCTTTCTAATAAGGGGATTCCTTATTTCTTTCTAGACAAAAAGGGAAATTTTTGATAACGATCAAAAAAGGTATAAGATGTCATTCGTATATCATGCTTTAAGAATTAGGGTTCGCTTACTTTGGGTTCGTTCAAAAGCCAATATTTCTTTCATGGACGTGCAACTTCGCATGACAACTCTTCTCCAATATTTCAATAATGTTTTGTTTTTATTTAGTAACGCCAAAGAAGATCAAATTGCATCATCGAGTTTTCATTATACTATATCTGATTAAAAAAATAAATAAATAATAATAATAATAATAAATCCCCATGTATGATTTCTGGGTGGAAATGTACCAGAAATAAATTTAAACATTTGGGGCCCCACAATCCTTTTGTGGTATCACGGAATTCGGATCACATCCGACATCATCGCCTGGCCTTGAAAACCAGACAAGACCTTTTAGATTATCAAAGAATCAATGAAAATATCTTCATTTTCGGGCTTTTTTTTTATATTCCATTGTTATTCTTTGGTTATTTTTAAGATTAAAAGAAATCGCAACACGATTAAAAGAGTTAACAAATTTGAACTTTAAAAAAAAAAAAATATTC